AACTCATTAGCATAACTCATTAGCATATGCCACACCCCCTGACATCACCGGAAGTGTGTCATAAGGCCACACCTTCTGACATCACCGGAAGTGTGTCATAAGGCCACACACCCCGCCCCCAACGGTCCCGGCCGCCGGTGCCGGCCTTGCAGCTCCACTGCCGATCCCCATGAGGGGCCCGGCGGTGGACCTGCAAGGCCGGCGGAAGTGTGAGGAAGCCCGCGAAGGCCCTCCCTGGCCCCAGGCAGGCAGGGGTGGGGAGAGGCAGGGAGGAAGCAACTGACCCCCCCTCTTCTCCTGCCTCCTCCTGGCTGAATGAGGGCCGGAAGCGGGGTTTCCGGAAGCAGGGGGCGGGGCTTCGTTGTGTGCCCCGCCCCCGTACCTCACCTGGGGGAACTGCGATCCCCTGCGATCCCCCCCGAAATGACCTCTGCACCTTAGTATCTTTTCAAAACCTTGCAATTAGAATTTTAGCCGCTGTGGAAAGAATAGTGATTAATTTTTTCACTTTTTCAGGAGGACCGTCAGAGGGCCACAATCCAAGGAGAAGAACAGCCGGTGAAAAAGGTAAGTTGTAGTTCGCTATTTTGTGAATACAGTCTATTACTTGAATCCAAAACTTTGTATAAATTTGCAGGCCCACCGGCTGTGAAAGTAAGTTGCTTTAGATCCGCAGTGTTTCCAGCACTGCGGCGACATGGTGGGTATCATATGCGCTAGTTTAGTTGGTGTTAAGTACTCATCTCAACATGACCTTCATATTTGTCTCTATGATATATACAGATTTTGACGATGAGTTCTGATTTTGCCAGATATCTTTCCATTGACCCTCAGAGATTTGGCACGGGAGGTCTTTTGACCAAGCTTCTTGATAGTTCAGATTGATGTTGTGCGCAGACTTAATTTATGCAGCAGCCCAATCGCTCACTCACAACTTTAATGCCCATAGCTCACAAAGTAGAATTTTTGCTCACGAGACTCCACAGCTTAGAGGGAACATTGGTAGTGAAGGGCGAGGTATAAATCCAATCTCTTCCTCCTCTTCTTCCTCTTCTTCCTCTTCACCTCCTCCTCTTCCTCTTTTTCTACTTGATAATTGAGCAGTGATTCACAAAAGCTCATCCCCTGCCACAGGTTTTGCTAGTCTTTAAGGTGCTCCTGGACGCTTGCTCTGGGCTAAAATATGCATACATAAAAACAATAATTAAAACATGGGGCGGGAAGGCGGGAGGTGCCATATGAGACAACAGCTTACTCACTGGCAAAAGATGACAACAGAAGGGGACAGGGGAGTCTTTCTGGGGAGAGAGTTCCAGAATTTTGATGCCGCCACGGAGAAGGCCCGCTCCCGAGTGGCCACGTGTCTGATCTCAGGAGGCGGGGGGGGGGACCCCACACAGGGCCTCCAAAGTTGACCACGATGGTCAAACGGGTTCGTAAGGGTTTAAGTCTACGGCACTATATGAGTTCTGATCTCCGTGCTTGGTTTAAGTGCCTGGATCTTAAAAATACCATCCCCGGAAGCCTTACCCTGTTCTTCCTTTTTCCCCGTTGCCTTCCAGAACCTTCTGAAGCCGTTGCCATGGGTGACATGAAGACCCCCGATTTTGACGACCTCCTGGCCGCTTTCGACATCCCGGACATAGACACGAACGAGGCAATCAACTCCGGCCCCGAGGAGACAGACGCTCACATCAAGCCCATCCCGGGGGGGGAGGCGGCGGCAGCGGCCCCCGACCACGTCCTCCCCCACGGCGACATCAGCACCGTCAGCGTCATCGTCAAGAACACCGTCTGCCCGGAGCAGCTCGACCCCGCGGACGGCCGCCTCAAAGACGGCCACGGGATCGGGCCCCGCCTGCTGCAGAACGGGTTCTCCCCTGCCGAGGCGCCCTCCTCCCCGTCGGCCGAGGCGGTGGCCCCCACGAACGGGGAGTGCTGGGCGCCGAAGGAGAAAGGGACCAAAGGCCTGGACCTCTTTTCACACTTCAGCCCTGACCCCAGCGAGGACGGCGTGGCCAACCTGATCGACCGCCCGCGGGAATGCAAAGCGAAAGAGAAGACCCTCTCCGTGCCTTCCCTCTCTCCGTCCCCCACCCTCTCCGCCGCCCAGGCGCTGGACTGCCGAGAGCCGGCCGTGGAGAGCGCCCCGTCTCTCCCGCCGGCCTTCCCGCCACCTTTTGAAAGCTGTTCCGCTGGCGGGGTGGGTCTCCCTCCTTCTAGTCCTCCTCCTCTGGCTCCTCCGGCCATCAAACAGGAGTCAGACACTGACGCGCCCTGCCGGGGGCCCAGTCCGCTGGCCCCCCCAAAATCAAGCTCCGTCTGCTATTCTACGGACGAGTCAGCCCTCGGGCCCTGGCCCAGCTCGGACACGAATCTCGACAGCGGCTCTGGCAGCGCCCCCGGAGCCAAGCGCTCTCCCGCCGGCCCTCCGGATCCGTTCTTCAAAGGCTCTCCGCCAGCAGACGGGAGCCCGGGCCCCACCGCGTCCCCCAAACGACTCGGTGGAGGGGCCCTGAAGGAGGAGCCCGTAGAGAAGCCCGTGCAGTGCCCCCCGGGCACGTCCAGCGGGGAGGAGGAGGAGGACGACGACGACGACGAGAGCACGAGTTCGCCTTCGTCGAATTCTTCGCGGCCCCTCAAAGTGCGGATCAAGACCGTCAAGACCTCTTCCGGGAGCATCACCAGGACGGTCACGAGGGTCTCCCTGGACTCGGAGCCCGGGGCTGCCAAGCTCCCGCCCGACCACGACTCCCAGGGGGCCCCCGGGGCCGAGGAAGCCGCCCCGCCCCCCGCCGCCCCCAAGAAAGGGGAGGGCGTGGCGGAGTCCCCCGGCCCGAAGGTGGCGGTGGCCGGTCCCCTGAAGGTGATCGAGGGGCCGAAGGTGGTCAGCGTGCAGCTGGGCGACGGCACCAAGATCAAAGGGACGGTGCTGCCTGTCTCCACCATCCAGAACGCCAGCAGCGCCATGCTGATCGCCGCCAGCGTGGCCCAGCAGAAGGCGGTGGTGCTGCCCAGCAAGGCCGTGGCCAAGAACATCATCAGCCTGGTGCCGCAGGCCCTCCCCAAGGCCCCCGACGCCCGGAGCGGGGCCGGCTCGGCCGCCCAGCCAGCCGGGGCGACCCCCGGGGCCCACCAGAAGGTCAACGGCACCACGGTGGTGGTCATGCAGCCCCAGAAGTCCTCGCCCACCGTCGCCGGCACGGTCATCTCCCGCAGCCAGTCCAGCCTGGTCGAGGCCTTCAACAAGATCCTGAACAGCAAGAACCTGCTGCCCACCTACAAGCCCAACCTGGCCCCCCCGGCGGACGCCAGCCTGGCCCTGCCGCCCCTCGGCTACCGCTGCCTGGAGTGCGGCGACGCCTTCGCCCTGGAGAAGAGCCTGGCCCGCCACTATGACCGGCGCAGCATGCGCATTGAGGTGACCTGCAACCACTGCACCAAGCGCCTGGTCTTCTTCAACAAGTGCAGTCTCCTCCTCCACGCCCGCGAGCACAAGGACAAGGGGCTGGTCATGCAGTGCTCCCACCTCGTCATGCGCCCCATCGCCCTGGACCAGATGATCGGCCAGCCCGACATCACCCCCCTGGTCTCCCTCGCCTCCCTGAACGCCGGCAAGGCGGCCGCCCCACCGGGCGCGGCCCAGGAGGCGGTGGGCGCGGCCAACGGGGGCACGCCCCAGGACCTGCCCGTCCTGCCTCTGAACGGCGGCACGGAGACGCCCACCACCAACTCCTGCCAGTGCCTGGAGTGTAAGGAGCAGTGCAAAGACAAAGCCGGCCTCGCGGCTCACTACCAGCAGGCCACGCCCTCCTCGTCCACGGTAGGCCCCAGCAATCGGGGGTGTGTGTGCGGGGTGAGATGCGGGGGTCTCAGGCAGTGCTCCCTCTAAGCAAAAATTCTCCTTTGTGAACTATTGGTATTAAAGTTGTGAGCGAGCGATTCGACGACTGCATACGTCAGTTTGCTCTGGAGCCCTCCTTCCTGAGCCAAGGCAAAAATTGTGTGAGGGGGGAGGCTAAAAAATCTGTGAGCTAGCTCACACTAACTCAGCTTAGAGGGAACACTGGTCCAGAGATGTAAAATTTCCGAAAATTTTGAAGCTCAGAAAAAAAAAACGTTTTTCCCGGGGGGAAATGGAAATTTTCGGAAAAATTGAAAAAAATGCTACATTAGCACTTCTTTTTTCTTTTCCAGATTGAAAGTCATTCTGTTACATAAAATATGACTGTGGACTTTTTACATGGCATGAAATTATCACAACTAGCCTATTAAAAATTCAGTGTATCCAAACAATTATTACAAACAGAATACCCACCCACATGCAAAAACAAAACTGGAACCTTTTTCTTTTCTCGTGACAACACCATCTCCTAAAGGAAGGAATGCATCTTGTTCTTGCACTGGAGAGTTCAGTGCACAGAAATTAGATCAATCTGATGCCATACATATTTTTTAGAAATGATTTGGAAAATATTTGAACACCTTGTCTTAAATCATTTTATTCATCATGTTAAAATAAAACGTTCCATCATCAATTTTCTTTCTTTTTTTCAATTTTTCGGAAAAAAAAACAAAAAAGGCGGCGGGGAAAAACGGGGGAAAACATTCCCCCCCCCCCCGAATGTTTCCAGTTTTTTTCCGGGCATTCACATCTCTACACTGGTCTCAGGGCCAAGGTACATGTTGAAAAATGTCATGTCTTACACACCCAGGGAAATGCTGATCACTACGTTGGGGCCAGGAAGCCATTTTTCTCCAGGCCAGTTTGGCTGGAGATCCTGGAGGGGCTTTTTGTCATCTTCTGAGCATGGAACAGCAGTCACTGTGGGTGTATGGGAGAGGGGGAGGTATTTTGGAATTTCCTGCATTGTGCAAGGGGTTGGACTAGATGACCCCGGAGGTCCCGTTCAACGCTATGATTCTGTGAGGTATAGTCCTCCTCACATAGCCAGTTTGGTGTAGTGGTTAAGTGTGCGGACTCTAATATGGGAGAACCGGGTTTGATTCCCCACTCCTCCACTTGCACCTGCTGATGTGACCTTGGGTCAGTCACAAGCTCTAGCACAGCTGTCCTTGAAAAAGAGCAGTTTGTGTCAGAGTTCTCTCAGCCCCACCCACCCCACAGGGTGTCTGTTGTGGGGAGGGGAAGGGAAAGGAGTGTGTAAGCCGCTCTGAGACTCCAAGTGAAGGGCGGGGTATCAATCCAATCTCTTCTTCTTCTTCATAGACTGCACAATTTCAGAATGCAGGTGAAGGGATTTGCATGTCTGAACCCTCCTTTCCTTCATGATGTTCGTTTATGAAACGATTCATCCACCTATTAAAATATCTGTTCCCCCCTTTTCCTCTTGCCTTAACGCAGCTGTGTCTAGAAAGCTAGCAAGCCAGGGGAAATGTTGGGCTCGGAACCTTGCTCATTGACGTGCCACATTTCTATGTGCAGGGTATCATGTGCGCATGTGCTGTGACAATTCGCAAGGTTCATAGTGCAGGCCAGGAGTGCCTCCTTGACACTCTACCAGGGTCCAGGAGGTGGCGAATATTTAAAAATAAAAATAAAATCAACACAGTCCCACAATTAAAAGTCCAGTTAAAATTACAAAAATAATTGAATCAGAAGCACAAAAACAGAAAACACCAGAAGGAGGGCCAGTAACAATCATTGTCAGTATGCCGGACAAAACGAAAAAAGGTCCTCGCTTGTCAGCGAAAGACACCGCTAGAGGGAGGCAGAGAAACCTCCCTGGGGAGGGAGTTCCAGAGTTTTGGTCCCACGACCAAGGAGGCGGGTTCATGTGGAAAGGGGCGTTCCTTTACGTGTGTTGGTCCGGGGCTGTTTAGTCTTCAGCTTAACGGAGGGCCACTTGTGCAGCTTCCACATCTGGAGGAGATTTTGGCGCTCCCGGGGCGTGGCTGCAGGCGAGCCATGTGTTCAGATCTCGGGGCCTTCTCGGCTCAGGCCCCGTGTTCTCCTCCTCTTCCCTCCGCTCACTTCCAGTTGTGTGTCCGGCCTGCCCCTTCTCCTCCCCGCCCTTCTTTATGCTAACCGGCGGTCTCCGCCTTTCCTTTGCCCCCCTTGCAGGTGTGCAGCGCCTGCCCCATGATCATGCCCAACCGCTGCAGCTTCGGCGCCCACCAGCGCATGCACAAGAACCGCCCGCCTCACGTGTGCCCGGAGTGCGGGGGGAATTTCCTCTTGGCCAACTTCGAGGCCCACCTGAAAGAAGCCTGCCTCCACTTCTCCCGGAGGATAGGTTACAGGTAGGGGGAAGGTGGTGGGGTTTCTCTCGTCGTCGCCTCGCCCGTCTGCCTCACGTCATGGTCACTCCCATTTTAGCCCAGGACCGCAGGGAACACTTTGGCCAGCTGGTCTCTAGAGAAAGAGGAGTGGCTGCAGGTTTTGGACAGCTGCCTCAGGGTTATTCGATGTGAAGGTGAAACAGATGGCGTGCGGAAAGTCTGAAGGTCCTCTCATGTGCTCGGTGTAGAGAAACGGAAGTGTTTTATTCCAGTGTTTTATTCCTGTCTCCTAATGTGAACTTTATTGTTAAATTTCTATTTATTATTATTTTAGTCATGATATTTATGTGACTTTGTAACTAATCAGCTTCCAATCAGGCCAAAAAAGAACACAGTTTCACAGCCCACAAAGTTTAAATCACAATCTCCTCATACAATCCCTGGGCACCAATTGGTTCCAACTGTCACTAAGCATTGTGGGGATTGTAGGCTGTGTCTGCTTTCCACAGCCACACAGGTCTCTCCTGGGCCTAGGCCTCACTAGGCCTTGTCTCCCAGTCCTACACAGATCATGACACCCGCCCTGAGCCCGCTTGCGGGGAGGGCGGGATAGAAATCAAATAAATAAATAACGGTGCAGCTTGGGAACATCCGGAGGAACTGTTTGGCAGTAATGTCAGGGCAGATTTTAAAAATGCTTTACGCAGCGTACCACTAATTTAAAGCAGGGGTCCCCAATGGTTGCCACGGTGCCAGCCAGTACTTCTCTTGACACCGACCCTTCTTTTCAGGAAATGGGTGGGGGCATTGTATGCCAGGGCTTGTTATTGTCTTCCCTCATTGACTTGAAGAGAAGGGAGTGGTAAGCAACTGGTCTCTCTCTAGTCAGAGGGTCATCCCCTTCCCAAGAGATACGAGGAGGCAGGTATTCTGTTTGGTACCGCCTCCTGAGGTAGCCATTTTGGGCTTGGCTCCACTTCCTGTGGGAGCCATTTTGGGGGTGGCGCACACAACGTCCTCTCAAAATCACAGCTGCCCACCAGTGTTCCCTCTAAACTGTGGAGTCTTGTGAGCAAAAATCCCGCTTTCTGAGCTCCCAGCAGTAAAGCTGTGAGCGAGCGATTTGGCTGCTGTGTAAATTAGTTTGCTCTGGAGCCATCCCTTCCTGAGCGAAGGCGAATATTTGTGGGCCGCGGAGGCTAAAAAACGATGAGCTGGCTCACCCTAACTCAGCTTAGAGGGAACACTGGTGCCCACAGCCTCCAAAAGGTTGGGGACCCTTAAGTCACAGAAGTCACTGCCACAAGCTATGTTGGCAGTTGCTAGCTGGCCAGTTCGGTTCATGGAGGGAAAACCTTCGTAGCAGCTAAGTGGCCCTGACCGTTAACTGAAATCTCTTGTGTTCAGAAGCAGGGCACCTTTCAGCGTTCCAGTTGCAGGGGGCATGCACTTGGGGGTGGGGGGAGAGATCGGCTTTGCAGCCTTCTCGTTTTCCCAGAGGCATCTTGACTCGCTACGATTTAAAATGCCGTTTTCCTAATGCAACGAAATCGGAGTTCAGCGGCAGTTACTGTCCAGTAAAGTAAAAGAGAGCCAGTTTGATATAGCGGTTAGGAGCACGGGGTCTAATCTGGGAGAACTGGGTTTGATTTCCCCACTCCTCCACTTGCACCTGCTGATGTGACCTTGGGTCAGTCACAAGCTCTGGCACAGCTGTCCTTGAAAAAGAGCAGTTCCTGTCAGAGCTCTCTCAGCCCCACCCACCCCACAGGGTGTCTGTTGTGGGGAGGGGAAGGGAAAGGGGTTTGTAAGCCGCTCTGAGACTCCTTTGGGTGGTGAAGGGCGGGGCATAAACCCAATCTCTTCTTCTCCAGCTTGGCGTAATGGTTAAGTGCGCGGACTCTAATCCGGGAGAACTGGGTTTGATTTCCCCACTCCTCCACTTGCACCTGCTGATGTGACCTTGGGTCAGTCACAAGCTCTGGCACAGCTGTCCTTGAAAAAGAGCAGTTCCTGTCAGAGCTCTCTCAGCCCCACCCACCCCACAGGGTGTCTGTTGTGGGGAGGGGAAGGGAAAGGGGTTTGTAAGCCGCTCTGAGACTCCTTTGGGTGGTGAAGGGCGGGGCATAAACCCAATCTCCTCTTCTTCTTCTTCTCCAGCTTGGTGTCGTGGTGAAGTGCGCGGACTCTAATCTGGGAGAACCGGGTTTGATTTCCCCACTCCTCCACTTGTGCCTGCTGATGTGACCTTGGGTCAGTCACAAGCTCTGTCAGAGCTGTCCTTGAAAAAGAGCAGTTCCTGTCAGAGCTCTCTCAGCCCCACCCACCCCACAGGGTGTCTGCTGTGGGGAGGGGAAGGGAAAGGAGTTTGTAAGCTGCTCTGAGACACCTTTGGGTAGTGAAGGGCGGGGGATAAATCCTCTTCTTCTCCCCTCTTTCTTTCCTTGATACAAGAGTTTTGAGCTTTTTTGGGGGGGGAGAAATGGGCAGGTTGTCTGCACGAGGGCGTCTCCTCTGACCTTTTCCGCCTTCTCGTCCTCAGGTGCCCGAGCTGCTCGGTCGTGTTCGGCGGGGTGAACTCCATCAAGTCCCACATCCAGATGTCGCACTGCGAAGTGTTCCACAAGTGCCCCATCTGCCCCATGGCGTTCAAGTCGGCCCCCAGCGCCCACGCCCACATCTACACGCAGCACCCAGGCTTCAGCAACCAGCAGTCCAAGTACGGGCGGTGTGCGGGGGGGGGCGTGCCCGTCGGGGGGGCGG